AGAACAGCACAACCTTCCAAAACTGAACAAGGAAGAAACAGAAAATATAAACAGACCAATCACAAGCACCGAAATTGAGAGGGTCATTAAAAATCTTCCAACAAACAAAAGCCCAGGACCAGATGGCTTCACAGGTGAATTCTATCAAATATTTAGAGAAGAGCTAACACCTATGCTTCTCAAACTCTTCCACAATATAGCAGAGGGAGGAACACTCTGAAACTCATTCTACGAGGCCACCATCACACTGATACCAAAGCCAGACAAAGATGTCACAAAAAAAGAAAACTACAGGCCAATATCACTGATGAACATAGATTCAAAAATCCTCAACAAAATACTAGCAAATGGAATCCAACAGCACATTAAAAGGATCATACAACGTGATCAAGTGGGGTTTATCCCAGGAATGCAAGGTTTCTTTATGAAAATCAATCACTGTGATAAACCATATTAACACATTGAAGGAGAAAAACCATATGATCATCTCAATAGATGCAGAAAAAGCTTTTGACAAAATTCAACACCCATTTATGATAAAAAGCCTCCAGAAATTAGGCATAGAGGAAACTTACCTCAACATAATAAAGGCCAAATATGACAAGCCGACAAACAACATCGTTCTCAATGGTGCAAAACTGAAACCATTTCCACTAAGATCAGGAACAAGACAACGTTGGCCCTCTCACCACTATTATTCAACATAGTTTTGGAAGTTGTAGCCATAGCAATCAGAGAAGAAAAAGAAATAAAAGGAATCCAAATTGGAAAAGAAGTAAAACAGTCACTGTTTGCAGATGACATGATACTACACATAGAGAATCCTAAAGATGCTACCAGAAAACTATTAGAGCTAATAAATGAATTTGGTAATGTAGCAGTATACAAAATTAATGTACAGAAATCTCCTGCATTGCTATATACTAATGACTGCAACAAAAAGAAAAGAATACCTAGGAATAAACCTAACTAAGGAAACAAAAGCTTCATGCAGAAAACTATAAGACACTGATGAAAGAAATTAAAGATGATACACACAGATGGAGAGATGTTCTTGGATTGTAAAAATAAACACTGTGAAAATGACAATACTACACAAAGCTATCAACGATTCAAAGCAATCCCTATCACACTACCAATGGCATTTTTCACAGAACTAGAGCAAAAATATTCACAATTTGTATGGAAACACAAAAGACCCCGAATAGCCAAAGCAATCTTGAGAAAGAAAAATGGACCTGGAGGAATCAGGCTCCCTGTTTTCAGACTATACTACAAAGCTGCAGTAATCAAGACAGTATGGTACTGGCACAAAAACAGAAATATAGATAAATGGAACAGGATAGAAAGCCCAGAGATAAACCCACGCACATATGGTCACCTCAGTTTTGATAAAGGAGGCAAGAATATACAATGGAGAAAAGACAGCCTCTTCAATAAATGGTGCTGGGAAAACGGGACAGCTACATGTAAAAAGAATGAAATTAGAACACTGCCTAACACTACACACAAAAATAAATTCAAAATGGATTAAAGACCTAAACATAAGGCCAGACACTATAAAACTCTTAGAGGAAAACATAGGCAGAACATTCTATGACATACATCACAGCAAGATCCTTTTTGACCCACCTCCTAGAGAAATGAAATAAAAATAAACAAATGGGACTTAATGAAACTTAAAAGCCTTTGCACAGCAAAGGAAACAATAAACAAGATGAAAAGACAACCCTCAAAATGGGTGAAAATATTTGCAAACGAAGCAACTGACAAAGGATTAATCTCAAAAATATACAATCAGCTCATGCAAGTCAATACCAAGAAAACAAACAACCCAATCCAAAAATGGGCAAGACTTACATAGACATTTCTCTGAAGAAGATATATAGATTGCCAACAAATATCTGAAAGGATGCGCAACATCACTAATCAATAGAGAAATGCAAATCAAAACTACAATGAGGCTGGGGGCAAGACGGGAATAAAGACACAGACCTACTAGAGCATGGACTTGAGGATATGGGGAGGGGGAAGGGTAAGCTGTGACAAAGTGAGAGAGTGGCATGGACATATATACACTACCAAAGGTAAAATAGATAGCTAGTGGGAAGCAGCTGCATAGCAGAGGTAGATCAGCTCGGTGCTTTGTGACGACCTAGAGGGGTGGGATAGGGAGGGTGGGAGGGAGGGAGACGCAAGAGGGAAGAGATATGGGAACATATGTATATGTATAACTGATTCACTTTGTTATAAAGGAGAAACTAACACACCATTGTAAAGCAATTATACTCCAATAAAGACGTTGAAAAAAAGAAAAACTACAATGAGGTATCACCTCACACCGGCCAGAATGGCCATCATCAAAAAATCTACAAACAACAAATGCTGGAGAGGGTGTGGAGAAAAGGGAACCCTCTTACACTGTTGGTGGGAATGTAAATTGGTACAGCCACTATGGAGAACAGTATGGAGGTTCCTTAAAAAACTAAAAATAGAACTACCATATGACCCAGCAATCCCACTACTGGGCATATACCCTGAGAAAACCATAATTCCAAAAGAATTATGTACCACGATGTTCACTGCAACTCTATTTACAATAGCCATGACATGGAAGCAACCTAAGTGTCCATCGACAGATGAATGGATAAAGATGTGGCACATATATACAATGGAATATTACTCTGCCATAAAAAGAAACGAAACTGTGGATTATGGACCTAGAGACTGTCATACAGAGTGAAGTAAGTCAGAAAGAGAAAAATACCATATGCTAACACGTATATATGGAATGTAAAAAAAAAATGGTCATGAATAACCTAGGGGCAGGACAGGAATAAAGATGCAGACGTGGAGAATGGACTTGAGGACATGGGGAGGGGGAAGGGGAAGCTGGGATGAAGTGAGAGAGTGGCATGGACTTATATATACTACCAAATGTAAAATAGCTAGTGGGAAGCAGTTGCATAGTACAGGGAGATCAGTTCGGTGTTTTGTGACCGCCTAGAGGGGTGGGATGGAGATGCAAGAGGGAGGACATATGGGGATATATGTATATGTACAGCTGATTCACTTGGTTATAAAGCAGAAACTAACACACCATTGTAAAGCAATTATATTCCAATATAGATGGTAAAAAAAGAAAAACGAAAAAGATTTTTCTATAAACCACTACCAGTCAAGAAGAAAGTGAAAGCTGTGCCACTCTCTTTAACAGGAAAACTTAGGGATGACTGCATAGCTGTTTCTTTGCTTTGTAAGTGCTGGATATAAAATTATAATTGTTGGTCAAGTTCCTTAACCTTCAGCAGGAGGATTCTATTTCAATAGCATGTTCCAAGGAAGGTTCCCTTTAAGAATTCTACAGAAGGAAGAAAGCACAATTAAATGAATACATGAATCAGTAGTACAGTAAAAGAATAATACAACCTGGCTACATGGGGTTTCTCTTGGGATCACAAGAAAGGTTCAATAGGAAAACTATAAATTTACTATATGAAATGAATACATTTACTATATCAATTTGCTACCCTATATACATTTATCCATCTTTATAGAACAAAATCCAACATTCCTGCTTTCAAGAGATGTAGTATAGGAACAATGGCTACCTTCTTATGGTAAATCAAACCAGCTCTATATCCAAAGTTAAAATACTAGAAGCAAAGCATACTCTCTTTAAGGTCAGAAGATAGCCACCACCTCTGTTCTTTAGCAGTACATTTATTAATATAGTAAGTAAGCAAAAAAAAGAGAAAGAGAGGGAAGAAGGGAGGAAGGAAGGGAAAAATTTGTTGAACAAGCACCTAAATTAAAGATCAGCCAACTTTTTCTATAAAAGACCTGAGAGTAAATATTTTAGACTTCACAGACCATATAGTCCTTGTCTCACTTAGAATGCAAAAACAACCATAGACGATAATAAGGAAATGGACATGGCTGCACTGCATCCAGTAATTTCTATTTACAGACACTGACATTTTAATTTCATACAGTTTTCAGATGTCACAGAGTATGATTCTTTTTATTTTTCACCCAGACATTTTTAAATGTAAAAACCATTAGTAGCTCTTGGTCTGTACGAAACTAGGTGGGCCAGATTTGATGACCCTGCCCTAGATCACTTTAACAGTAATTAAGTCCAGGAAGTAGAACTTGGGTGTGTGTGTGTGTGTGTGTGTGTGTGTGTCTTTGGGGGTGGAGTGATCAGACAAAGGTGATGCTGGTGAAGGGGAAGAGAATTTTACTTTTTATTTTGACACAATTCCACACTTTAAAAATGTTTTACCATAATCATGGATTAATTATACAACTTAAAAAATCTAACTATTAGATAAATATAATCTCATATGGCCTGTTTTCCTATTTTTTGGCATGGTAAGGTAAGGGGTTTTACAGAGAGACTATAAAGAATCATCAAATTATAAAAATGTTAAATTTTAAAACAGCATTTTTATTTATTTCTCTCTTTTCCTTTTTCTCTCTCTCAGGAAAAAAAAAAAAAGGGTGGGGGACCTGCTCTCTTTAGCTGTTAATTATACTCCTGTAAAGAGAGTAAACCTGAGGAATTTCTATTTGTTTTATATCTAATCTGCAAGCCTCACTGACCTTTCATCAAGAACAATGGTGCACACACAGTTCCTACATTTATACCCGTTCCTTCCCCACTCTCGCCACCATTTCTTTTTTTTTTTTTCTGGGTGTTGAACTCCAGCCAAACATTAAATTACCTTGGGAAGCAAAAGGTAGACGAGAAAAAAGCACAAAGGTGGTATTTGGCCTCATTCTATGAGGACACTCAATCTTAATTTAGGGAAAGAAAAGGGACACTTTTTTTTTTAGTGTGAGAGCATGAGAACTGGAAAGAAGCACGGATTTTTCAGACAAGGCTGTTTTTTAAGTTCGCAGGTGGACTGTGCTCTTGTTTCAATGCAGGTGGGGCTGTAGATCAGGTGTGTGTGCGCCTGTGTGTGTCTATAAATCCACACCCATTTTTAACCAGAAATATCCAGAATACACTTCCAGCAAGAGCACTGACGAGTTCAGGTAAGCAAGCAAAATTTCCAGATTACTTAATCAGTGGTCAAGCTCAGTTATATTTAAAGGATCAAATTATCGCTGTACAAAAGTGAGATCTTCAGTAAAGCAGAGGGCAAGTTCAATGAAATGATATTTTTCTTCTTTTAACGAACTAGATTTCCTTTGTTGGCTTCATACTTTTATTCTTTATGTGTATTAATGATATTATAATAAACTAACATTCACCAAAAGTGATCCTTTAAAAATTATGCTGCAAGTAACAATTGTTCCTCCCTGTTATTTTTTTTATTGAAGTATAGTTGATTTACAATACTGTGTTAATTTCAGCTGTACAGCAAAGTGATGCAGTTATACATATATATACATTTTTTTTTAATATTCTTTAGGGGCCCTCTTCCCCAGGAAAGAGCACAAAGGAATGGAGTGGGAGTTTGGGGTTAGCGGATGCAAACTAGTATATATAGAATGGATAAGCAACAAGATCTTACTATATAGCACAGGGAACTATATTCAATATGCTGTGATAAACCATAATGGAAAAGAATATTAAAAAAGAACGTAAAATCTCACTCCCAGTTTTCTTTTATAGCGAATTTTTACATAATATTTAAGTAAATGACTTACGTTAAATTACTTTTGAAAAGTGAAATACTGTGTCAGAAAATGCGAACTATCCGTGTTTTTAACACCTAATTGTAGATGTGTGGTTATTTGCCTGTGGAAGGCAATGTGAGCTGCTCCAGGGCCATGACCATGTCATATTCATCTGTGTCCCCCAAGGAGCTTTACCCACGCATCTGATACTATAGGATCATAACTAACTCATGTTCTGTTTACCAGGGAAATTACTGTTCATCCGAAGATAATAATATATAAATTGATTGGCTTTGTCATAGAATATATTTACTATCTATTTTACAATTTATCAATGTCAAACAGAAAAAAATATTTTGATTTTTAAGTAGAACAATCTGACAATAATACATAGCAACTTGAAATTTGAAAAAAAATTCAGTTCCTATTCATTCTAAATTTGGCAGCTTTAAAATAAGAAGGTGGTGAAGTTATCATTTCTCTCTTTTGATACAGATTCTACCTACTAATCTCTGTCTCTCTCATAAAGAACTTTTCCTAATGCTTCCTTCAGATTAACTTTTTCTTAACTCTTGACTTCTAGAGATCCCTCAGAGAATCTTAAGGCAATTAGGGGCTCTCTTCCCCAGAAAAGAGAACAAAGGCACATAAAATTTTACAGACAATTCAGGGATTTTTGAGACTCCAGGAGCTCAATCATAGACCTTCTAGAAGCTCACTGGACCCAAGTTAAGACCCTACCCTAGATGGTTGCTTCAATTTTTCCGCTGCAACTTTCACTCTGACAGAGTCTGCCCTCCCCACGTTGGACTTTGTGTTCCAGAGTCAGCTGTCTTTATCCCCTACTGAAATCTACCCTTTCTCTGTTTCAGTCGTTATGGTACAAGATGACACCCATAAGGTAAAAGATGGCATGCTGAAATGTTTCACAGTATTAATAAGTTATAGGAACTTAAACTGCTATCCTTATCAGCACCATGGTTATTGTTTAACAGGGTTTCTCAATACAAAATAATTTAAAAGTGGGTCCCTTGCAGATTAGGAAAGAAAATAATTTAAATAGGACCAAACTAACCATTTTCAATCCAGGAGAGGGATGTACTGCTGGCTAGATAAAGATACTAAAGTGAGAGGAATGAATTTTAAATAGGGCAGGGTTGTAAATTTAAGGGCAAAAGGCTGAGTAAATGATGGAAGGATAAAAAAGATAAGCAACTGTAGAGGAACTGAAGAACAAGAACCTCCATATTCTGTTTTTCCTCAGTTCTAATTTAAGCAGTATTTGTTCATGCCTAATCTTACTGTCTTGGCAGAGTTAAAATGTCATTTTAACCTATCAGATCAAGAAGAATCAAAGGGCAAAGAATATTTATGCACGACAAACATCACCTTTCCATTGCACTTAGCAGTTGCAAGGCCTTTAATCAATATCATCTTATTTGAGTTTTAATGCAGTTCTGTGAGCACTAGAATACCATCAGAAGTAGGCTTTGGGTGCCCTGGTCCAGTGCTCTTTCAACTTCATTGTACTGCTCCCAGGATGCCAGGAATGTGGCTTTTCATCAAGTGGACATCTACTGAGTTGACTGTATTTTTACAATAATTTACAAATAAAATGTGAAAGTTCTAGGTGGTTGTACTATGTCAATTCACACAAGCAGAGCAATCTGACAGCACAGGTTTGGTCTCTTAACAAATGTCTTAATGACAGCCTGAGGTAACCTACCAGATTCTGACAATTATTTTTTACCATCCAGCTGCTTCGGAGGGATTCTTGAGAAGATATGATGTTACACTCAGCTTTGGTCGTCTGTCTCTTACTCATCACGGTTTCTTCTAACCTTGCCATGGCAATCAAAAAGGGAAAAAGACCTCCCCAGACACTCTCAAGAGGTACTGGAATCTCATTTTATTTTCTGAACTCAGTCATTTGGATTGTTTTAAAATTCATCATCTCTTGCCTGTAGTCTAGTTATAAAGCCAACTCAATTAACTGAAATTTTTTGTTGTGTATCACTTTAAAATAGGAGAAAAAAAACAACAACAGAGAGGATCAGTTAATTTTAAAGAGTGAGCCACATGAAATGAAAAACAACAATTTGTTGCATCTTCTATAGAAATAGTGGAGAACTGGTTTCATTGCCTATAACTTTGGTAACCAGAGTCCTGCAAAATGCTATTGATTGATACGTTATATTGATATCCTAAATGCAATCAGGATCCCCTCAAAATCTGTTCCAGTGCCCTGTCCTCTCTTTATTCAGGCAAGAAAATAATTTAGAATGATTTTACACTGGGGTCCCCAGAAAATTATACTTTATCTCCATCCTCCAAGAATTTTGGTTAACCAAGTGTTGGTTATGCTGATTCCAGAAAACAGCTGCAGTATTTTTAGAGGACATAATCTAGATTTGTCATTGGCTACACTGAAAACATTTCTATTTTGTACCAACTGTTTTACTTTGGCCTGAGAAACAATTATATCTTCACCTGCAAAGAAATAATTCATAAAGAAAATTCTCAGAATTGATTCCTACATTTCCAGCTACCAGAAATGGAAAGGAAATCATTTGTCTCCAAATAGCTAATTCTAAATTAGTAACACAAACCAAAAAACACTTGACTGGTACTTGGAATGGTAATGTGACTGGAGCAAACAAATGGAGATCAACTATAGCATAATTTCAAATTTTAAAATACTGACTTTCTTTCCAAGTTAATTCATTCCTTAACAGATGTATTGGGTACCAGCCAATTGCCTGTCAGTGTTCAGCCAAGATAATTAATTCTACTTCAGTTTAAAATCACAGAAACTATAAGTCTAAAAAAATTGGTAAGTTTTTGCAAAATAAATAAAAGAGGGAAATATTTTCCTAAGTGTAATTTATCATGTACCTCCATATATACATACAACAGTTATAAAACAATGAACTCAGTAGCCTTAAAGTGCCAAAGATCAAACTCACTGCCCTTAAAGACCCTCGAGGGCTGAGTTAAGCAGCATGCTGTAACTATAATTAAGGTACCAATATTCTGTGTATTCACTTCCAAATGTCCATTAAAACTGGTGAATTTTATGAAAATATACTCAATACGTACAATAAATTTTAAACAACGCGATGAGTCTGTTATTTCAGTTAAACTATGTCAACAGGGGAGATGACTGATAGCAGCTGGGAACTCCATTATTCAGAAATGGTTTGCATTTGGTTAAGCCTTTATCTTCTACTGGCACATAGAAAACAACTGAGAATGAGGATTTAAGGTAGGGGTGAAAGGGAAATTTGACTACAGTGTACCAAGTAGCATATGGAGCCTCTTAGAGTGCAGAGCAGCCCCAGTTAAACAGACACAGTGTTAGGGAGAAAAGGGAGTATTAATCGGAAAAAGGTAAGAAATGGTTCAATAAAAAAGTGAACCCCAAATCTTAACTTCCTTTTAAACCAAAACTGCTCTGCGTCCAGCACCTGGTCCAGTGCCTGGCATACAGTAAGTACTCAATAAATACATACTGGAGAATGAATAAAATCTCAGAAGATAAGTAAGCATAGCCAGTAATGGATTAGGAATTAGGGATCATGATAATGAACAGAGAACAATAAGACTGTATTGTCTTACCTGCATACACCCAGTGCTAAGTGGAGCAAGGCATATGGCAGATGTTCCTTCAATATTTGTGGAACTAAGTTAAACAGGAGCAGAGAACGGTAATTCTTCCCACTGCTGACATTCTGGCATTGAATGATATTTGCAACAGAATAGGGAAATTAAGTAGGAACACAGTCTCACTGGCTGTTACCAAAATAACTTTTATCTAATGCAAAACGTGGCATAAACTTACTACGTGTGTTTGAGTAAAGCTGTAAAGAAAGTCTTTCAGGGTTATTACAGATAGGAAGTATTCCTGCTAAGGTTGGGGTACTAAGCTAACATAAGATGTCTTCCAATGTTAGGATTCTAAGGTCAGGCAAAAACAAACCAACAACACTTCTGGTAAGAGTGTAAAATAATGCACTCACTTGGAAAAACTGTCAGAAAGTTAAAGTTATAGTTACCATTTGATCCAGCAATTCCACTTCTAAGGATTATACCCAAGAAAAATGAAAACATATGTTCACACTGAAGTTTGCACTCAAATGTTCATAGCAGTATTATTCATAAAATCCAAAAACTAGAAACAACCTAAATGTCCATCAGCTGATAAATGGACAAACAAAATGTGGTATATCCATAAAATGGAATAATATTTAGCCCAAGAATGAAGTCCTAATACATGCCACAACATGGATGAACCTTAAAAACATTGCATTAAGTGAAAGCATCCAGTCATAAGATACATCGCATCTTATACGATTCCACTTATATGAGATGTCTGGAATAAGATAATCTATACAGACAAAGTAGATTAGCCATTTCTTAGGGTTGTAGGAGATGAAAGAATTGCGTGGGGATAACTAAAGGGTACAGGGTTTCTTTCTGAAGTGATGAAAATCTTCCAAAATTGATTTTGGTGATGATTGCACACTATGTAAATATATTAAAAGAATGTATATACTTTCAATGGATGAACTGTATTGGCATATGAATTATATTTGAATAAAGTTGTTATTAAAAAACAAACAAACCAAAACCCAGCAGGCAGAAATCATGGGATCATATTTATCCTGCTTCATAATTCTGCTTCATAAGTCCTGGACATCTTTAAGCCATGGTATCAAAACCAGGAACTCCAGTCTGACAACATATGAAACTTATGAAAAAATCTGGGTCCAAAATAGCCTGAAACTATTTCTGTTTTCAAATTAATTCAACCTTTTTCATCCATAGACTGAGACATTTCCTGAATACTTTGAAATATTTCTGGATGTTTTGTGCATTCTTCTCTTCAATGGTCTTATTCTTCAATCTCTAATACACATTCCCAACTACTCACATCATTCCTTTAAAGGCTAGTGGGGGGACTTCCCTAGTGGCGCAGTGGTTAAGAATCCACCTGCCAATGCAGGAGACACGGGTTCGATCCCTGGTCCGGGAGGATCCCACATGCTGCAGAGCAACTAAGCCCGTGAGCCACAACTACTGAGCCTGTGCGCCACAACTACTGAAGCCCGTGCGCCTGGAGCCTGTGCTCCGCAACAGGACAGGCCACCATAAGGAGAACCCTGGACACCGCAACGAAGAGTAGCCCCCACTCACCACAACTACAGAAAACCCATGTGCAGCAACGAAGACCTGATGCAACCAAAATAAATAAATAAATAAATAAAATTGATTCTTTAAAAAATAAAGCTAGTGGGTTCTCTCTCTACTCGTTGTGTTCTGTTTCCCTCTCCTCCACTCTTTTGGATGCTTCCAAAACAAGGGTTTTATTGAGTCTCTCAACCATAAAATTCCCATGCCAGAATTTTTTTCTCTGTTAAAACTCAAAGCAAAATTTGAAATTCCTTTTTTTCAATGATGTGTTATGACTTCGAAGGAGTCAACATCTCTTGACACTCAAGATTCAAGGACGCTGTTCAGTATAGCCCAAAGTATTCCCGATAGATTTACAAAGTATGCAAAGATTAACTGTTATTTCCTCCTGTACGTTCTGAAAGTGAGAGCTCTTGCATGGTCCAGAGATGTCCTTTCAATCACCATTAATCATAATAGCATCTACTGAACACTTACTGGGTTCAAGGCCATGGGCCTTAAGATTTAAAACATAGTCACAAAACCTCAGTAATATCACCTGAAAGGACACAACCTCTTTGTATCTAGTTATAATTATGTATCCTCCATACCTTATGTCAGACAACTGCTTGGTAGCTTAAATATCTGTAGATAGATACCTGCTTATCACACCCCCAACTCAGAACTCTTTGGTAGTCCTGAGTTAACACATTGATTTCTCTCTTCTGTTTAGGATGGGGAGATGACATCACTTGGATGCAGACTTATGAGGAAGGTCTCTTTCATATTCAAAAAAGGTAAAACACCTCTCAGTTAACTTTGACAGATGATACAGATACCTCCTCACAGGAGAGCCAAACACTAGCATGTTAGCTTTTCAGAGGATACAATAAGAATTTGCTCTGATATTGTATGCTGTTTGGACTAAGAGTTGCTATTAGAATTTTTTTATAAACAACAGCTCTAGACACTTCTGTATTAATTTCTTAATTATCCAAGCAAGCTTTTTTATCTGAGGAATAATTGACTTAACATTATATTAGTTTCAGATATACAACTTAATGATTGGATATTTGTATATATGCAAAATGATTACCACAATAAGTCTAGTTAACATCCACCAAGCAAACTTTGAATATAAATTGTATAAACAAAACAGCATCACTCACTGGGCATTATACAAGCTTAAACAAGAACCTGACTTATAGCAGCACTTCTCAAGGCTGTCTGATCATCAGAACAACTCAGAGAGCTTTTTTAAAAATCCATATTCAGGGTCAACTACTTACTGAGTATCCACTTCTATGCGCCAGGCACTCAGTGACCAAGAGTGACGTGATTTACTAAAGATCTACTAAATCTTTGGGGATGGAGCTGAGAAACTTGTACTTTTAAAAGCACCCCAAGAATTTATCAAATATCTAAAGAATGTTCAATTCCACTCTTTGAAGAAAAAGAAAAGATTCCAAATAAGAATTGGCTAAAACACTCTCAACACCAGACAAATATTACAAAAAAAAAAAAAAAAAGTCTACAGAATAATCTTATTTCCAAATAGAAATGTAAAAAACAAACAACATATTAGCAAAGAGCAGACAGCAGAACACTAAAGAATATACCCTGATAAAGTGAGATTCAGTCTGGGAAAGCCAAAAGATTCAAGATTAAGACATCTATTAATTAAAATAATTTAATATTTATAAGGACACAAATCATACAAGTATCTCCTATCTCCACAAATGCTAAAAAAAAAAGCATTTAATACAATGCCAAATCCATATTTGAAGTTAAAAAACTTATCCATCCCAGCAAAAAAGTCAACATCATGCTTACTGAGGAAAAACAATTAAAGTATCCCACTGATGGATTCTTTAATCACCACAATTACTAACGTTGTTCTGGAGATACTAACCAATGCAATTAGATGAGAAAAACTTACAAAGGAGAGAGTGAAAGAATCCTCATTTGCAGCTGATGACTGTGTTTGTGAAAAACTTGAGAATCAGCCCAAAGTATCAGAACTACGAAGATTCAGTTAAATTAGATGAGACTAAATTAATACCTAGAAATCAACAGCATATATATATATATATATATATATATAATCAAAATAGTTAAAGGCAGTTATAAAATACCTTATATAAAATAGCAATAAAAAAGATGAAATATCCCAGGATAAACTTGACAGAAAATGTACAAAATCTGTATGAACTAAATGTACTAGTGAGGAAAGAAATTACAAACCTATGTGAAGGGATATCATGTTCTTGGAGAGGAAGATTCAATATCGTAAAAATGTCAATCCTCTCTATAGCTAAAAAATTTGTTAAGACAATCACAATATATTAGTACAAGTTTTTAAGTGATTTTAAAATTGAAATGGAAACATAGACAGACTTAAATAGTTAGGAACATTCTGAGAAGAAATCAGTGGGGACTAGCCCTTAATCAATATGAAACATTTTAATAACACAGTATGTTACCGGTAAATGAATTGAATAGAATGGAGAGAACAGAAAACTGGATACTACAGAAATAGTTTACATGATTAAGTGGCATTTTGAATCAGGAGTAGGAGAGATAGAGTATGTAAAATAATTGTTAGAATTTGATAGCCATTTGTGAAAAATAAAAAAATTTGTATCTATACCTCACATTTTACATCAAAATAAATTATAAAGATTAATTATAAGGATGAAACCATTAAGGTACTAGAAGACACTATTACAAAACTGTTATTCCTTTAAATTCTTGGGGTAGGGTACAATTAGGGTGAGGCATGAGGGATGTCTAGGATGCAAAAACAAAGCACTTCATTTTTGTGCCCTAGATGCTACCCTTGCCTCACCCTAGTCCTCCTTTAGAGTTGAGTATGGCCAAAGGAAAAAAAAAAGAAGAAAGAAAAATCCTAAAATAAATGACTAATATTTTTGATTATGCAAATTTATGCAAATCAGAAATTTATCATAAGCAAACGAAAAAGGCAAAAAATACAAAACTAACAGAAAACTATAGCTCATATTACAAGAGTGAATTTCTCTAATATACAAAGTACTCATATAAATTAATAAGAAAAAGGTCAAGGCAATGACCGTGAAAAAATGAACATAAGATAGGAAAGATAGTACACAGAATAAAAAAATTAGTAACCTAAACATATGAGTAAGATTATTTTTTACAGCTTTATTGAGATATAATTTACATAAACATTGTGCAGATTTAAGGTGTAGAATGTGATGATTTGATGTATGTATATATTGCACAATGATGACCACAATAAGGTTAATTATCACCTCACATAGTTAACGTGTGTGTGTGTGTGTGTGTGTGTGTGTGTGTGTGTTGAGAACTTTTAAGATGTATTTTCTTATCAGCTTTCAAGTATACCATACAGTATTGTTAACTCTGGTCATCACTACATTCCCAGGACTCACTCATCTTATAACTGGAAGTGTGTACCCTTTGAGCACCTTTACCCATTTTCCCCACCTCCCAATCCCCCACCCCGGGAAACCACCAATCTACTCTCTGTTTCTATGAGTTTGGTTTTTACTTTTTTTTAAATTCCAGGTTCTACATATAAGTGAGATCATATAGTATTTGTCTCTGACTTATTTTACTTAACATAATATGCTCAAGGTTCATTCACGTTGTCACAAATGTACTGAGAGTCACTTAGGTTGCTTCCATGTCCTGGCTATTGTAAATAATGCTGCAATGAACATGGGGATGCAGATATCCCTTTGAGATAGTGAAATAGTGATTTCATTTTCTTTGGGTATATACCCAGAAGTAGAATTGCTGGATCATATGGTGACTATTTTTTATAAGAAAGTAAAACCACATTAACTTCCCTCTTTCACCTACTGGATAAAAGAATTAAAAGCTCAATAACCAGTTTTAGTGAGAGTAAATACTTAGTTCTCACATTATCAGAGAGAACATAAATTGGTACAGCTTCTAAGGAAAGTATATACAGTGCATCAAAATTATAAATGCACATACTCTGACGCAGAAACTCCACTTCTGGAAATTTATTTACAAATATACCCACCCATGTGCAAAATTATATGTAAGTAACATCATGTTCACCAAAGCATCTTTTTAAATGTCTGAAAACAATCTAAACATAAAAGATTGAAAAGAATTTAAATATCTATTTTGAGGAGACTAATAAAGTAAAGATGATCCATATAATGGAATATTATACAAAAGCACAAGGGAATAACATCCAAGATATATGATTATGCTAAAAAAGCCAAATGCAGATACATGTGTATAGCGTGCTAGTATTTGTATTTTTTTTAAAAAAAGAATATATATACATATGGACATGCATATGAACATGCACAATTCATAATCATATACATTTACATAAGTATATACACAAGCATATGCATATGCACATGTGTATTTTGTTATATGACCTGAAAAACTCTGGAAGCAAACTTAGAAAATGGTAACACTGCTTACTTCTTGAAGGCAGGATGGGAGAAAGAATGTTTACTTTTTTAACTTTTGAATTTTAAACCATCTGAATTTATAACTTATTTTCAATGAAAAACATGTAGAATTTTAAAAGATAATTCACCAAATGATGCTGATAAGCAGCTAGGCTTGGAAGGCTCTGGTTATAGAGCATCTCAGAAGTACAGCTCCCCAAAATTTTTACTCTTTCTCTCACTCGAGTTTCTCATAATCTGATGTGCTAGTTCATAAGATTTTTTTTTTCCCAATTTAAAATGCTTTATTTTTTTAATTCTTTTTAAAATTCTTTTCCTATTTAGGTTATTACAGAATATTGAGCCAAGTTCCCTGTGCTATACAGCAGGTCCTTGTTGGTTATCTATAGTAGTGTGTACATGTCAATCCCAAACTCCCAGTCTATCTCTCCCCCTACCCTTCGCCCCTGGTAACCGTAAGACTAGGGACCACCTGTTTTATTGATAATTTGGTCTGTGAGCTAAGGATGATTTTTACATTAAAAGAATGTTTTTAAACAAAAGAAGAATAATATCTTGTGAAACATGGAAGCTACTTGAAATTCAAATTCCAGTGTTATAAATTAAGTTTTACTATAACACGGCCACTCTCACCTTGTTGCATATTGTCCATGGCTGCTTTCGTGCAATAACAGCAGAGGTGAGCGGTTGTGAACAAGACCACATGGGCTGCAAAACCTCAAATACTTACCATCTGCCTCTTTGCTTTAAAAGTTTCTGAGCCCTTTTTCAGGTGTTCCTAATTCAGTGTCTGCCAGAAACAGAAGCTTTTCCTAAAACGGATTACTGTCTTGGTTTGACTGTCTGAACAACCCATTCAAAGCTGAACTATTAAGACTGAGTATTCTGTGGTCTTGATACATTTTTCCTTGGACTCCAGTTGGCCAGAAATCTGATGGAGAAATTAGTTTTCCAAGAGTTACATCAATGTCTTTCCTTACACAGAGCTATCCTTATTTCCAGCTGCTGTGCTGGGAAGAAAGGGTAGCAGTTCAGGAAATCAGAATGACTCACGCCCCTGAATTGTTCTGCATCACAGGACACCTCTATCTACCTAAGTGCAATCAGAGAAAAAGTTATCTAGTAAAAGAATTACTACTTGGTGCTTAGGAGGTCTAAGTTCTGTATGAGTCTCTAAAGAAATGTCAATGAATATTCTTAGGCTCAGTTTTCTACTAATTAAAAAGAGGTAATAATATTTCATTCATTGGATATCTAATCTGCTCTTTCACCAGTAAATGTGAAGTTGTTGGCAAATGTTAGCTTTCTATGTTATAAATTTTAAGAGATAAGTTGTAGGATTTATTCTTACCTAAAATTAACTTATATTCTAAGTTTGAGGATTAAATGAAATTATTTACACTTCAAAGTGTGTTATTTAACACTTTTGAGACTAAAGTTTGAAAAAACAGGATTATTCAGTAACAAGTATTTCATATGATTACGTCTGTTGTTTTTAAAAAGATTTATGCTTGATACATATACACTCGTCTATCTCTTTTTGTACCTAGCATCCTTGCAAAGTTAAAGAAACATTTTTAAAAACATCTTATATACCCGAATCATAATTATTTTGTCCTTCACTGTAGTTAACATTCTAATTTTTCTCGTATTCTAAACAGCAGGGTAGTCAATGAGCTACCACCAAAACTTTTCTTCAGAGAGTTAAAATCAAAATGACACTGAAAAATATATAGGAAGGGAACTCTCCCTGAGACTGTTGGTAATTGTAAGTTGTGACAAGAATAAAAGGTTGTGAAAATGGTCAAATATTAATAGACTTTTTGAAAAACAAACAAAAAACCTAAGTAAAAACTTCGACAATTCCAAAATTTTATACCAGATGTTCATTGGAAATGAATACTACCTTGCTCATAATATCTTTTCATCTATGGAGACAGAATTGACTTTTATTTTTCTAACTGTACTACAGTATACATAAGAACGACCTGGTAAGCTTGTTAAGCTAAGGATTCCTGGACCTCACCCCCACAGATGCTGACCGAGTGGGCCCAAGAGGGAGCCTGAGAATTTACATTTCTAATGAGCTACATTTCTGGTGACGCTGATGCTTCAGTGCTGAGGCCATGTTATGACTAAGAGGACTACAGACTACAGCGCTGTGATTTGTCAGGCTGAGATGTTTACTTTATGTCTCATAGAAAGTATGAGAATCTTAAATCTAATTTCACTGTACATTTTAACTCAAATTAATCACTTGGCTCAATTCCACACTCTCTCTGTTTAGTAACAAGCCACTGATGGTTATTCATCACTTGGAGGACTGTCAATACTGCCAAGGTAATTTTTGCTCCTGAGATCTTATTGTATCTCCAATATGAAGTAGGAAAGTGACCTGGTTACAAATTGTTAAGAAGGCACTCAGGAAACTCTATTCCAAAAAAAAAAAGGACAACTGCTAGAGTACCACCATTTTACTAAGGTGCTTAAAGACTACAATGATTGTTAGTAATTTATTGAATATATTCATATTACATGTCCTTTAGAATTTTATATCCATCTTCCTCCCCTGCCCCCCCCCCAAAAACGTAGGAAAAATGGCTGAAAGAAGATGCTGTTTTAACCAATGAGTCAATGAATTACATGACATTGTAAAACTGGTGATTTCATCAATGTGATTCTCTCTTGATGTCTTCTTGGATAGACTCTGTCCCTCATTGATTTCCAGTTAGAGACGAAGTGGCAATGGGCCAATGAACTATTTACATCCAAGTTACAGACGCAAACAAATGCAAAATACTAGCTTAATTTTGCTACATTATATTGAAGGCGTCTTGATCCTTGAAACTAATTGACATTATGTTTTCTCCCACAGCACTAAAAAAAGTGTTTGCCCAAAATAAAGAAATACAAGAAATGGCTCAGAATAATTTCATCATGCTGAATCTCATGGTACCTGACCTCTACAATGTTTTCTTAATATCTCAATTCAGTGGAAAAGCTGAATCTCTTTTTTTGTCTTTTTTTGAAGACAAAAAGAGCTATAAAGTATTAGTGGATATAGAATGTTATACAGAATTGTAGGAGGCCAAAATATATAACTTACTGAAAGGCTTGTTTACATAAAATATTTTTAAATCAACTGTTAAAAACAGTCCAATCCAATAACATTCTTTTTTTTCATCTTTTTCCTAGCATGAAACCACTGATAAGAATTTATCACCTGATGGACAATACGTGCCTAGAATCATGTTTGTGGGTAATTGTACAATCTCTTTCCATCAGATTTAGAAAATCAGTAGCCTTCTTGCTTTTATTTACTTTTAAATGCTAGTTCAAGTACTATTCCTTTTAAAGGGAAGTCATTAGTAACCCAGTCAATAACAGTTCTTGTTAGGTCAACAATCAAACTCGTTATATCTATAACTTGTAACTTATAAATATTAAATTTTAATGTTTTAAATTAACTGATGCTATGAAATCAATATCCCAATGTAGTTTCAGTATTGTTCTCTAAACTATTATATGTTGACAGAGACCTGTGACACACCAAAATGAGAATTCAGATTAACTCACAATGAATTCACATGTATGAAAACTGATTTTGCTTATAAATTTGCTTAACGTTTGTTTTAGATTAAGAGGCAAGAATGATTTTCAGAATATTTTAAATAATATGTAAGGTACTTATTTTTTCTTGGCAGATCCTTCTTTAACAGTCAGAGCTGATATAACTGGAAGATACTCAAACTGGAAGATACTCAAACAGATTATATACATATGAACCTCAGGATTTACCGCTATGTAAGTATTCACAAATTATCTTGAACAGTGATACTAGCAACACTTAACTGTTAGAAGGGTCAATGATACCCTACATGGGTGCTTCCCCACAAACAGTGCTACCCACACATCACAGTCCCTGGGGCTGGTAGTGGAGATAGTGGTTAATATGCAAACTCTTAGCTCCCATCAAAATCAGAATTTCTGGGGCACCTCAGAATCTCTTCAACAGGGATCTCTAATAGTTCTTATGATCACTAAATGTTAACACCACCAAAAAGAATAGAGTACACGTGAAAATTAAACCTTAAGAAAGCCAGTCCATTCTTCTGGTATGAAAGATTATATGTGATTTCCTCAAAGTGATCATAATTAAATCTTTTCTCTTCCTTTAATGCCTATAAGCAAGGAAATACAGTCTGACTTGGGACTTTCATTTCTGCAACATTCACTATCAACTATGTTTAATAAGAGAGCTATGCCTGTCATATCCAGCAATACTGCTACAAAATAATCAGTTAACAAAATAGACACTCCCTCAAAATCCCTTTGATAAAATTTTTTAACATTAAGTTAATTAACCAGCTCTGAATGGTCTAATCCTTAAATTTACATGTACACTTTCAGCATAATATTCTTTAAGGTTGCAGATAAATCCCCAAATCTTTATAGCTGTTAATTTTAATGGGCCAATTTTAGATTCAGGGGTTAATTTAAAAATTTGGTACTCTCATTTACTAATAGAATAATGTATATTTACTTCTATTACAGTGATAGAAAACATGAAGAAAGCATTAAAACTTATTCAATCCGAGTTATAATGTATTACCTCTAAGAGGTCAAATGTCACGAAGAAAAACTTCTGGCTAATTGACTAATACTAATGGGCAGGTAAATGAATTTTGTAACATTATCATTTAGACTTTTAATGTGTTTGAATATTCTTAGGAAGGTAAAATGATATTTCAATAAATATCAAAACCAGAGCATGACAATACTGTGGCTTGATTTCTGCCTGCATCAGTAGCAAAGAAAGCTTGCTGATAGTCATAGTGGAGACAGAAAGACCTAAATAAGAGGTGTCTACACTGCTTGTTTCTACTTCCTCATCTATCATCCATTCCACCAAGTAAGCTAATCTTAATTCTGATCCCTCTATTATATCGAACCTGCAAGTTTAGGTTATAAATGATCTGCATGTTGCCAAAGCAAAGGGATGCACCTCTAGCCACTTATTATTTAACTTTTAGCAGCATAACTTTTAGAGTTAACCATTTCTTTCTTTTTTTTTTTACTTTAAAACAGACACTGAAAACGTAATTACAATAAATTTAAAATATATTTTAAAACTTTAAATATGTTTTGCTTAATTACTGGGTGGATATTTAACACTTTTAATCATTTTAAGAAGAATGTAACTGCTTCCAGAATATTAAAGAATACCTCCAGTTAACTAGCAGAAGAGGAATCTATCCATTCTGAAATTATTAAACATTCAACCACCAACTCAATTCTTCAGAGGAAGCTTTTGTAGGATCACATCCATGTCTTCTATTCCTTTAAATAACACACACACACAAAAATCCTAATTTTTTATGAACAAAATTTCCCTAATCATTTGGAGTAATTCTGATTACTAACGGAAACCCCATAATCAGCTGGGAATAATTCTCAGAAACGAGAGAATATTTCCTAATCCATAGGATTTGATTACATTTAAATAACTTGAAGTTTTGAAATATAAAGGTACACTTTTATATGAGACAGATATACAACATCTATGATACTGATGTCTGATTAATTCCAATGTTTCATGAGTCAGAGAAAGAAAGGTTTCTTCCAAGTTTTATCTGATCATTATTCAGTTCATTTTAAGCAGACTTTTTGCAACTGATCTATTTGGATATAAACAGGTTACAAGACCATCAACACTAGATATCCATGTATTCCCACTGCAAAAGAATATTAAATATCTTATTTTTTTATTTTAGATCAAAGTTTGGAGTTAATTTTTTCTTTTTTTCGGTACACGGGCCTCTCACTGTTGTGGCCTCTCCCGTTGCGGAGCACAGGCTCCGGACGCACAGGCTCAGGAGCCATGGCTCACAGGCCCAGCCGCCCCACAGCATGTGGGATCCTCCAGGACCGGGGCACAAACCTGTGTCTCCTGCATCGGCAGGCGGACTGTCAACCACTGCGCCACCAGGGAAGCCCTGGAGTTAATTTTTTAATGCATTCTAAGAGACCAAAGTGTACTGGCATACTCTAATAATATAATGTATGAAGACTAATATAACTGATTTCATTGTTGCATAAACAGTGCAGAAGCAGAAAATGTCCATGGTCATTGCAGTGAACTAAGAAGGAACCAGTTGACAATTAGGTTGCTGATTTAAGAACTAATAAAATAGAATATTCACTTGTTTTTCTTCAATTAGTGTAAAAATGTTACTAAATGATAAATTGATTATTCTTTACCATGAAAATATATGTGCCTTTATATTTTTATCATATGTATTTAAATTACATATAATTCAATTATGCATATAATTATACATACACTAACATTTACTGTACATCTAGTTTATATATATATAATTTGAAAATAAGTTATGTTAATCAGTGTAGTGTTGTAACTAATTTAGTTTCCTTCTCTACTCTACTTTAACAATTAAATTCTATATCTTAGTTGATATTTCTATCTAATTTCTTCACTTTATAAAATTAGTGGCTTAGATTCCATCACTTCTGTGGTTACCCTTAGCTTTGAAATGCAGGACTAGGCATAGAACCCATATGTGTATATATAACTTTACTTCTATTACTTTTAGCCTTGTAACCTCCAAAAAAGTATTTATTCTTTCTCTAACGCATCCAATATTAAGAATTAAATTACCTACACCAGCTACCTGAAACAGTATGCACAATTCTGTGCGTATAGGCGTTTTCACAGAGGAGTTTGGGGAACTTTCAATTGCATTTCAAAGGGATAAAACAGTTTAAAAAGTTACATATTCAATGCAGAAAGCTATAAGACACTGATGAAAGAAATTAAAGATGATACAAACAGATGGAGAGATATACCATGTTCTTGGATTGGAAGAATCAACATCAATGAAAACGACTATACTACCCAAAGCAATCTACAGATTCAATGAAACCCCTATCAAACTACCAGTAGCATTTTTCACAGAACTAGCACAAAAAATTTCACAATTTGTATGGAAACACAAAAGACCCCGAATAGCCAAAGCAATCTTGAGAAAGAAAAATGGACCTGGAGGAATCAGACTACCTGACTTCAGACTATACTAAAAAGCTACAGTAATCAAGACAATATGGTACTGGCAGAAATACAGATCAATGGAACAGGATAGAAAGCCCAGAGATAAACCCACACACCTATGGTATAAGGGAGGCAAGAATATACAATGGAGAAAAGGCAGCCTTTTCAATAAATGGTCCTGAGAAAACTGGACAGCTACATGTAAAAGAATGAAATTAGAACACTCCCTAACACCATACACAAAAATAAACCCAAAATGGATTAAAGACCTAAATGTAAGGCCAGGCACCATAAAACTCTTAGAGGAAAACATAGGCAGGACACTCTATGACATCAATCACAGCAAGATCCTTTTTGACCCACCTCCTAGAGAAAAGGAAATAAAAACAAAAATACACAAATGGGACCTAATGAAACTTAAAAGCTTTTGCACAGCAAAGGAAACCATAAACAAGACCAAAAGACAACCCTGAGAATGGAAGAAAATATTCTCAAACAAAGCAACTGACAAAGGATTAATCTCCAAAATATACAGGCAGCTCAGGAAGCTCAATATCAAAAAAATAAACAACCCAATCCAAAAATGGGCAGAAGATCTAAATAGACATTTCTCCAGAGAAGATATACAGATTGCCAACAAACACATAAAAGGATGTTCCACATCATTAATCATTAGAGAAATACAAATCAAAAGTACAATGAGGTATCACCTCACACCGGTCAGAATGGCCATCATCAAAAAATCTACAAACAATAAATGCTGGAGAGGGTGTGGAGAAAAGGGAACCCTCTTGCACTGCTGGTGGGAATGTAAATTGATACAGCCACTATGGAGAACAGTATGGAGGTTCCTTAAAAATCTAAAAATAGAACTACCGTATGACCCAGCAATCCCACTACTGGGCATATACCCTGAGAAAAACACAATTCAAAAAGAGTCATGTACCACAATGTTCATTGCAGCACTATTTACAATAGCCAGGACATGGAAGCAACCTAAGTGTCCATTGACAGATGAATGGATAAAGAAGATGTGGAATATATATATATAATATATATATATAATATATATATAATATATATAATATATAATGGAATATTATTCAGCCATAAAAAGAAATTAAATTGAGTTATTTGTAGTGAGGTGGATAGACCTAGAGTCTGTCATACAGAGTGAAGTAAGTCAGAAAGAGAAAAACAAATACCATATGCTAACACATATATATGCAATCTAAAAATAAAAAAGGTCATGAAGAACCTAGGGGCAGGACAGGAATAAAGACGCAGACGTAGAGAATGGACTTGAGGACAAGGGGAGGGGGAAGGGGAAGCTGGGATGAAGTGAGAGAGTGGCATGGACATATATACACTACCAAATGTAAAACAGATAGCTAGTGGGAAGCAGCCGCATAGCACAGGGAGATCAGCTCAGTGCTTTGTGACCACCTAGAGGGGTGGGATAGGGAGGGTGGGAGGGAGGGAGACACAAGAGGGAAGAGATATGGGGATATATGTTTATGTATAGCTGATTCACTTTGTTATACAGCAGAAACTAACACACCATTGTAAAGCAATTATACTCCAATAAAGATGTTAAAAAAAAAAATACGAGACAGAAAATGCAATTAGAGGAAATTGGCTCTGGGCATAGAAATATTTGCAACTTAAATTTAGGCATAATGGGTCAGTTTGCTGGAATCACATGCTAGAAAAAGATCAGGAGATCACAAGCCAGGAAATTCTGTGATGCGGCCAAACGAAAGGACGCTTTGCTCGAGTTCTGTGGGTTGTAAATGGTGTGTCAAGAGCATCCCCTGGCATTCTAGATATTCACCAGAAAAGAGTGTTCTGTGATTCTGTGCAGTCACATAGAGCTGGGCGGGGCGGGGTTGGAGAGTGTGGTTATGCGGTTCTGGGAAGATAGTGTAGGAGTTGGCTGGAAGAGGTTTTAAATAGACATTTTATGAGAAGGGAGAGTGAAAAGTCTATTCATATTATGTTTTTAAATCAGCAATAAAAGAAATTAATCATAAAAAAGTTCCATATTCAAAAAGACATTAGAATAGGATTGTCAGTAAAGAACATCCAGTTGAATTTAAATTAGAGATTAGCGACCATTTTTTTTTTAGTATAAGTGCATCCTATGCAATATCTGGAACACAGTTATGCAAAAAATGTATTTGCTGTTTATGTGAAATTCACTTTTAACTGGGTGACCTGTGCTTTCATTTGCTAACAATGGCCACCCCAGTTTAGAATCACTGCACTAGATGCCCCTCCTTCTCCTCTTTCCCCTTATTTTTGCCTAAAATAGCAACATTTGTTTTGTTGGGGGTTTTTTTGCAACATTTCTTTATATTTCAAATCAATCTCTCAGTTTCTGAGTTCCAGAAAATAACCTCAATTATTTTATAGCATTTAATCTCTCCTAATTTAACTTCTACTCTATGCCAGACACTGTGTTTGATATTATACATCCAAAGATAAATTAGATAAAAATAAGGCTGTTTTGTTCCCGAGAGCAGTTCATAATTT